TGTTCCTGTACTAGAACCTCGGGTTTGGTGTTTAGGGATTTACAATTTGAGATACAAGGTATATACATGAGGGTTTCCTTGTTTGGATTATTTCGCTCGACGTACCTATGCTCGTATTGTAAATTTCTAAATACTAAAATCCTCTTTAGATAAGATCGAATGATTTAGATCTATTATGTATTATCTGTAAATTTTCTTATACAACGAGCCATATTCCCTTGGGGTGGGTCGTGCCATTTTGCTCGCTAGCGCTTTGACGCCTCGTTGTCCCTCCCCTTTCAGGTAACGACGCCAGGAGCCCGCGTGAGCAGTTAAAATCGCAGGTTGATGGCGATGCATTTTAGCTTCAGCTGTCTACTTATTTATTTTCTTTGGAGTTCTACAGTTAGACTTTTGTTTTAGACAATTTGGAGAGTCTGTATTCTAGAAGTTTGTAAAGCTGTGTGCCTTATTTCTCTTGCTCACAAATATTTGTATTTGAGACTTGTTGAGTATTCCAGGTTATCTATTCAGACATTGACTATGTATTTCTGTATGTGGATGATGAGAGATAATGTGATGCACTATCATTTCATCAGTTATTCTGGTATTATCTTCTACTTGCTTTTGTACCTACACCTATTGTTGACTCTACTAGATAGATGTTAATTGTGATGGTGAAACATGTTATTGCACGGTGTGGTGCATGGCAGGTTTGACATTCTTGGTTTCACCTTGGACTGCAGCCTTGTGTGAACCCAGGAGCGTCACAATACTTATGTATACATATGTATATATATATATATATATATGTATATGATATGTATATACACACACACACACACACACACACACACACACACACACACACACACACACACACACACACACACACACACACACACACACACACACACACACACACACACACACACACACACACACACACACACAAAAAGGCGAAAATAAAGCAGTGGAGATGTATATACAATACACAGGATCACATGGTTGATAGCAGAGTCCATAGATTACCAGAATAGAAGAAAACTAAAGAGAACAATAAAATATTACAATAATGATAATAGCTACAAACATTAGTACATGTTTGATAAGTCAAAAGTATTATAAAAAAGATTATAAATTAACTCCTACTAAGATTTTCCTCTGAAGCTAATCTTCAAATTTAGAATCTTTACTCCACTTATCATTGCCAATTGTATGACCTACGAATGGATACAGAAACAATAGGGGTGAGCCTAAGGCCCAATAGGTAACCATAAAAATTTCGGGTACAATATAAGGGGATGAATGAAATGGATAGTCATAGATATTTGAACATGAACGAAGGGATCTCAACATTAAGTTACCATACTTATGTCATGATCATAGATCAAAATGAAATAACATGTTAATATGAATAATCAAGGTTTAATATTCAGGATTCCAAACTCCTCAATCATGGGATAATCAATTAATAAACTGCGCATACCTTTATACATCCACCGGTGAGCATCCTTACACAGGGTATTGTCCCCACCGGGACCCATTACTATTACCATCCACCGGTGAAGCTTACTTCACACAGGGCATAATCCATGAATATAGGCTATCAATCATCAACAAAGAAAGAAAAACTATCATTATCAATAGTTGAATCATCGACGCAAGTCGAAATACTACAATATAATTATTCAAAGGAATATCAATGGTATAAAACCAAAATAAACAGCATTAGGATAGCAATGGTTAAGCAATCAACAAAGAGCCCATGCATGAAGTGAATCAAATGGGAATATTACAAAAGTGATAAGATATACAACTTAGCATGGGAAGCTAACTCACGGGAATTTCTAGAAGTAATCAATTGAATTCTCAAAGACTTGAAAGGAGACAATGAAAGGTTACCTACCGATTATGCTCTGATCCTCTCAGCCAACGATTGAATCCAAAATTCGCTATCCTATATTCTAAGTCCTATATGCATATACATGTATACCCACTTGAGATTCTAAACATCATGTCTTCTATTATTTTTTTATCTTAAAACTTATATAATGGTATAAGGTACACTCTAAATGATTACATCCAATATCTATAATATGCATAGCAACAAAAGTAGTGTACATGCAGCAGTTTGGGATGGATGAATGATAGAGCTATCGATATTCAAAATACTTGAAATAGTTCCATATGAGTCTAAGATAAGTCTACTTTTAGAATATAAAAAAATTTACATCAATGCATGATATATAGTAAGAGTTACGCTCTAAGTAAACTACACCTATCAAAACTGTAGCAGAAAAAAATAAGGATTGCTATCTGGAATTAATAATTCATTTCATGTACTTAACACTTTAAAAATGAGCTCATATTTGGCATATAAGTAATATGATGGATTAGCTTCCACGTTCCATGAGTTTCATCAAACTTTTATTTTTATAATGCATGTTACATGCAAAAAAGATAGGGGCAGACTAGAATTATCAGTGCATATGCTATCTATTAAAACTAGGCTTACACTTATCAAATATTTTCCAAATTAATTCAAACTTAAGCCAACAGAAAGATGATTGAGACTAGTTCTGGGAACAGAAAGAATTCTATGCATGCAATGCACATATTAAGAGTTATGTTCTCTACAATGAACATGATTTGGTTTAGTTATGCAACTGCCCCTTTGGACCTACTGTAAGTAGAGGAAATGTCTGCTGCACAAGGGTAAACAAGCTCTTGCTAATGAACACACTACAATCATTCTTCTTCTCCACTTAAACGCATTACTGACTTGATCATCGAAAGAACCACTGCAGATCCCAACTCTGATGTTGTCATGTGTTGTTCATATGCAGGACTAGACTCTCTGCTCAAGAACCAACTATCTAAAGAAGATTAAGGAACCCTAATACACTTGAACTCTACACTTAATCCCCTATTTGATAACTGACATCAACAATTGTTAAAGTGGAACAATTTTTTGCTAGTGTGATATTTTATGGGATAAATAGGAACAATTTTGTAAAGCGGGATATTTTAATAAAATAAGTTGGGATAAATTTTTATAATCGCGAAGTGTATATTCATGCATTTTGAGATATAAATACTATTTATGTGTTTTAAACATGTTATTATTTATTGATAATTGTTTACGAGAATGTTATCTACTATTAAATAACATTTAGTGAGACTATAAGATATTGACAATTAATATTATAATATATATTGTAGCCATTTTTTATTACTTATTGTTATAGTACAAGTCCAAAAAAGTTTTAACATTTTCCTTCCTTTTTTTCTCCTCGAGATCTCTTTTCCTCATCTCTCAATTTTGTTATTTAATAAACTATGAATTGATATAATCTTTACTTTTAAATTACTTATATAATTATAATATTCGGTGAAAAAGAAAATATATGTTGTAGCCGTTTTATTTTTTAATTATTAATATAGAATAAAAAAGATTTTACATTTTTTCTATTCCATTTTGCTCCTTGCAGATCTCTTTCCCTCATCTCTTAATTTTGTTGTTTAATTATTTATGAACTAATACAATCTTTACTTTTGAATTAATTGTATAATTATAATATTCGATAAAAAAGAAAATATCAGAGATGACTAAGGGGAGACAAGATCTGATTTGAATGTGTGGTCTAATGATGGTTATGACCATAGTAGGATAGAAGTAAAAAAAAAGAAATTAAAAAATAATAAAATAAATAAGAGTACTAGTTTTTTACCACCTACTTCTAAGCTAAAACATGAGATAATTTAAAGGATTAGAACTCTCATTTTGTATAAAAAAATAAAAAAAGTTAGGTAATTTTGTATAGAAATCTGAGCAATACCTTGGTAAAACTTTATGTCTATTAGAATCAATTAGAATGTCAAATCCAACACTAATGAAATCTTGTCGTGTCAAAATTATCATTCCTTCTTAAAGTATTATCAGTATCAATTAGAATTTCATACTAATTAGAAAGGAGAGTACTTATTTCTAAATTTCAACTAATTGTCACGTGGCGACTTAATTTGCGTAAATCATCAATTTCTCATTATATAAAATAGAGGGATATAGAAGGGAGGAATATGACTATGAGATATCTTTTTTTAACTATGGATGGTTATATTTTGATTAAGATTACTAAATATTTGATTATTAAAATTATTTAATTATGAATAATTTTAATTTGATGATAATTCTTTTTTCTAGATGGCGATTGCCTGAGAACTCTTAATTATATAAAGATAAGATTAGATGTCCACATGTCATCTTCTAATAGGATAGAAGGATGCATAGCTATTTTTGTATATAACACATGTCAAGTGTTTAAAATGACACATGTTAGTTTTTTGTGCCTTTAGAAAAACCACAATTTCTCATTATATATATTAGGCGGAATATGATTATGAGTTTTTTTTTAATTATGGACAGTGGTAGATTACTATTATTTTATTGTTACACTTTTCTAATTATGAATAGTTTGAACCTGATAAGAAGCTTTTTTATTTTTATTTTTGGGAAAAAATTATCTTAACCTGAGACCTCTTTATTAGTGAAGATAAAATTAGGTGTCCACGTGTTATCTTCTGATTGGATAGAAGGACACACAGTAATTTTTTGACATTGACACGGGTCAATTTTTTGTGCCTTTAGAAAATTACTAATATCTCGAGGGATTTGGTAACCACAATTTACTCTATAACCCAAAATTTAATAATTAGCTCAAGTTAACTGAATTCCTGGTATACTTTCCTCAAATTAACTTGAAATACTATCTATAGAAAAATGTGTAACAACTACTGAATTCCTGGTATACTTTCCTCAAATTAACTTGAAATACTATCTATAGCAAAATGTGTAACAACTACACAAAATGAAACCGCAAAATTCACCTTGAAATTGAAGAAAACAACTACCACCTCACCTTGTCCGACATTTAAGCGTCCTCCTCTTCCTCCCAAAATTTCAGCCAAATTGATAACCTCCCTTATATAGAGAAAGATGTCCATTCTGGAGACAGAAACAGGGAAGGAGTTATTCTGACCTCTTCCCTTCTTCCTTCCCATTACATAAAATAAGACAAAATATGCCTCGTTGCAGCAATGCAACCGTCTGTATTGCCAATTTCCTCACCATTCTGATCGCCGTCCCCCTCATCTGCATTGGCCTCTATCTTAGGACTCAAGATGGTGCCAAATGCCAAAATAGCATCCCATGGGTAGTCATAGCCACGGGTGCCGCTCTTTTGTTCCTATCTCTATGTGGTATCCTTGGGTCATGCTGCCGTGTAAACTTTTTCATGTTTATATATCTCTTCTTAATGTTCCTGATGATTATTAGCGTCATCATCTCCATGTGTTTCTCTTTCGTGGTCACAAGTAAGAAGGTGGAAAAAACTGTGTCGGGCCTGAAGCTAGGGAATTCTTCGAACTGGCTTCAGAAATTTGCCACATCAAAATGGGATGAAACAGAGAAGTGCATGAAGGAGACAAAGATGTGCAGCAGTCGGGTGTTTGAGCTTATCGCCAAAGGAGATAATACAGAGACAGGACGTTGGTTGAGCAAGACTGACCTTTATGATGAGCTATCTCCTGTGCAGGCAATTCCTTTTCCTTTTCTCCTTTTCTTTTTCAATTTTTTCATTTAAAACTTCAAATGGTTTGTGCCAAGAGCTGGAATTTTAAATGGTTTCTTAAAATTAGAGTCATTAAATTTAGTATCATTATTGTTTGTAGATTGGCTGTTGCAGGGCACCTCTAGACTGTGGTTGAACGTACATAAATGGAACTTATTCGAAAGAATGAAAACCTACGGTCTATACATGAAAAAGTAAACTCAATAGATTATATTGGAACTCAAATAAATGAAAAATATAGTGAAAAGTTCTATGAAAGAAATTCACTATACTTAACAGTTTCAAAATTTTGATCATCTTTTTGTGTAAAAAATTATAGACCTTAATATAATATTTGGAGATTGATTGTAGCAAACTGCCTACATACATTTATCGTACAGGTAACAAGTTATGAGGAAACATCATATAATAGAAATTTAAAAAAAAAAAATATCTACAGTTAAAGGACATTTCAAAAGAAGGTTATTTTAGATATTATTCCCTTAAATCTTCAATAATTGTACATTAGTCTCTTAAATCTTGGAAATGGTTTTTGGTCCCTAAAATCTTCAATAATTGCATATTAGTCCCTCAAATGTTAGAAATTTCATATTAGTCCCTTAAATCCTATAAGGCCTTGCAAAATGGTCCTTCAAGTTAAATAATATTGGATTTCGGGCGGATAATCCGTCAAATCTAATGTTTGGAGGTAAAGTGACTAGTTTAGCCATCTGTAACGTTCCCCCAACACATTTCTTAATAGGTTTAAACCCAATATGCGCAAAAATAAATCTAAATTCACTTGAATTCTTCTTATCCAATTATTAACAAAAAAAAAATCCTAACTCAAAAGTGATCTTCACGAAGTGTTGAAACAATAGAGTGAGAGATAATTCGGTGATTTTAGATTTTGGGTTAAGAGCTAATAAACTATGATACATTTTTCAATTAAAACGTTAATTGAGGGACCATTTTGTAAGACACTATATATGATTTGAGGGACCAATATGCAGTTTCTAAGATTTGGGGAACTAATATGCAATAATTTTATATTTAAAGGATTAAACAGCAATTTCTAAGATTTGAGGGACTGATATGCAATTATTGAAGAGTTAAGGGACTAATACTAAAACAAACCCTATAACGAGGACTCCAAGTTATTCGAAGAATAACTACTATAGTGGAAGATAAAGACAGGTAAAATATTTTGTTTCCTTCTTATAACGCCTTTAACTGTTTGTGCAAAATTTATTGTTATTGTTGTTGGTAGGCCGGCTGCTGCAGACCACCTAACGATTGTGGTTTCACGAGAGTTAACGATACTTACTGGGAAGCACCAAAATCAGGGAAATTCACATCATCGAACAATGACTGCAAAGCATGGAGCAACAGTCAAGATGGGATGTGCTATAGCTGTGAATCGTGCAAAGCTGGAACAGTTGCGGGTGTGAGGAAAAACTTTAGAATCAATGCTTGGGTTAATGTAGGCACTCTTGTGTATCTCCTTATCGTCTATACCTTAGGATGTTGTGCTTTCCATAACAACAGAGCCAACAAATATGAACGCGCTTGAGTTGGCATAGAGGTGGCCGACATTCTTGAGTTGGATTCCTTGACTTGTATCTATGTACTGATTATAATAGTAGAAGATAAGTCAATGGTGAAGTTCAATGAAATTTCTATGTAACATATGACACTCATCATCTTGTTGTTATTGCTTCGAAAGTTGTATGAGGAATTGGTCCGTGAATATACAAACCATATTTGCAGATAGATTTTGTAACAAATTCAATTCTATCATATAGCCAATGCATTAAATGTAGTTATCAAAACAAGGCGGGCTTGACGTCTAAATTTAACAAGCGAGCTAGTTATAGAGGTCAAGAAAGATGCACTTATGTTGATACATAAGAAAACAGTCTGCTATTTGGGGGAAGGTCTAGTCTCTTTATCAGATGTCTATTTGGTCTGCACAAGATGGCTACCAAGGGTAGCGTCCCCTCTTTATGTTCATTCTGAACCATATGAAGAAACAAGTGCTAAAGATACTCTTTCCGAAAAGCAAGTGTCTAAAATATAGGACAGAGCGAAGAGGATTTCAATGTAAATTTGTATATGCGAATAACTAACCACATAATCATATAGATTACAGAAGAGGGTGGGAAAACATGCTTTTAATATATATTCAAACACCAAACTAGTAAAATGGCACAACATTAATTTCTGTAAGATCTTTTATATGATTTCAAAGTATTATTAATATATTTACTTCCCTGATTATGTTAAACTTTGTAACTTATGTTTGAAAACTCAAAGGTCATGCTGTTGTTTTTATTATGGATTAGGTTAATGTGGAGAATCATGGTTGGTGATGATGGCTCCACATGAGGAGATGAAAAGACCAATCTCTAGAGATGTACAAGTTTTTTCTATATAAACCTTCTAGTCCTACAAGTGGGGTTGCAATCCAACATGTCTACCCCAAAGGTGCAAGCTAATCGCTTGTAGAAAATTCTCTCGATAATAAAAAAATACAAACAGTCGCTCCACGGATTGTATTACAAGTCGGTGTTGATCATCCGAAGATGCCAACTGAAGTTCGCCATAGAGGTATGTAATTTATGTTTACCATGAATTATTACTAATTTTGAATATGGAATTTCAATAACATATTGCTTACATTTCAATGTAAATTTGTATATGCTAATGCTAAACTATGTTTGTCTTTGAAACTTTGTTCAGTTCCTTCAGGTTTATTGACACGCGGTAGAGCTAGGCATCATTTTGAACAGGCAAAGAGCCAAAAGCATCTGTCAAGAGAAAGAAAAAACTCAAACTGAGCATTTAAGATGATACACTGAGATACTAACTTAAACAATTTGATTTTGGAATCTTTTTTCACCTGCTGACGCTGTCCCATTATTGAACAAGAAATGAGGTTCCATTTGCCGTTTAGGGAGACAAGTTCTCTCAAGTTTAAGAGCGTCTTCTCTGAGAAGTTCAAGAGCATCAAGGAGACTCTTTCTCTCAGGTCCTCTGGAACCGGATGGACAGTACATAATATTTGAAGTTCTTTAGGACCGCCATCATAAATAAATGTTTTCACAGAACAAAATATATATACGAATGTCCCAAGATTTTTACTAGTGGGATGGTTCGGCCCTCTTCGAGGAGAGTACATTATGTTGGTTTCTAAACAGGATCGGCCAAATATACCAGACCTGAAAGCTTTATAAACCTATAAACAATGTATGCAACAGAATTGAACCTGGCAGATTTCTGTGAGACCGAGCAACAGCAAAGACAAAGAAGCAAAGGACGGGTTCTGCAGGGAGCTTTGAACCCAAACTTGATGATGGAGAGACTGCAGGAAAGAAAACAGAACCTTTCCCCTGGTATTAGCCGAAAAACAGAGAAAGAAGAAGAGAACAGAGAGTATTTTCGGTGGTGAAGTTCCCACTTTTCTGCTTATTATCTTCATGAATATTTACACATATATATAGATAAGATTACAACTTGAATTCTTATCCAATAACTAGCAAAACTATCTACTAACTAGTATTCTACCATAATTAGAACTCTATCTAATAACTTGGATTCAAACTAACAATCCGGACTGATTAACAACTCACATTCTCCCCCTTAATCTGGACGAGACTCCAAGTTCCTTACTCCTAGTAGCTCCCGCATCTCGATGAACTTCACCCTTGCTAGTGCCTTCGTGAGAATATCCGCTCGCTGCTCGCTCGTGCTCACGAACTCCACTTTAATCTGTCCTCGCTCAACACACTCACGAATGAAGTGAAAACGTGTGTCAATATGCTTGCTTCTTCCATGGAAAACTGGATTCTTCATCAAGGCAATCGCGGACTTGTTGTCGACGAAGAGTGTAACCGGCTTGGGCTCACTCCCAATCACCTTGCTGATTAAACTCCTCAACCACAAGCCTTGGCATGCTACTGCAGTTGCCGCCATAAATTCTGCCTCGCAGGATGATAATGCCACTGTCTTCTGCTTCTGTGATGTCCAAGTGACCAAACTGTCACCTAGATAAAATGTCATGCTGCCTGTGCTACGCCTGTCATCAACATCTCCCGCAAGATCACTGTCAGTGAATCCCACCAACTCTTCATTGCCTCGACCTCGTTTGTACACCAATCCGTAGGACATAGTACCTTTCACGTACCTCAAAATATGTTTGACAACTTGTCTATGCAAAACTGTAGGGTGCTCCATGTACCTACTCACAATCCCCACGGCATATGTGATATCAGGTCGGGAGTGAGTTAGATACCTTAAGCATCCGATAATGCGTCTATACTCCGTCATGTCCACCGGTGTTCCTTCAGAATCCCTTCCAAGCTTTAGCTTTGTTTCCATAGGATATTGGGTCGGGTTGCAATCCATCATGCCGAACTGACCCAAAACTTTCTTCGCATAGGCCGCCTGCCTTAGTGCAATACAATCATCTCGCTGATCCACCTCGATACCAAGATAATAGGAAAGCAATCCAAGGTCACTCATCTCGAACTCCTTCATCATTTGTTGCTTGAAAAACTTTATCTCATCCGCCCTCGAGCCCGTAACGATCAAGTCATCTACGTACACGCCAACAATGAGTGTATCCCCTCTGTTACTCCTTGTGTATACCGCCTGCTCCTGAGTGCATCTTGCAAATCCGATGCCCTTCATGCACTTGTTGAGGCGTGTGTTCCATGCTCGAGGTGCTTGGCGTAGACCGTAGAGTGCCTTTGAAAGCTTGTAGACCTTGTGCTCTTGATTCTTCACAACGAACCCTTCAGGTTGAACCACATACACTTCTTCCTGGAGATCACCATTTAGGAATGTCGACTTCACATCCAAATGGTGCACCTCCCACCCGTTCTGTGCTGATATAGCGAGGATTATTCTGATGGTATCAAGCCTCGCCACAGGTGCAAACACCTCATCGAAGTCCACGCCTTGCTGCTGGACGTACCCTTTTGCTACAAGTCTTGCTTTGTACTTGAGAATGTTGCCTTCATTGTCCTTCTTCAGCTTGTACACCCATTTGAGACCAATGGGTTTGGAACTCCGCGGTAACTCCGTGAGTATCCAAGTCTTGTTCTTCTCGATGGCCTCCATTTCCTTCTCCATGGCAGTGCGCCATTCTTGATCTGTTGTAGCCTCACTGTAGCTTGCGGGTTCTTCAGTGATCAGGAACAACTCCTCTGCTGGAAGATCAACCACCTCCGTCTCCGCATAGATGTCCGCAAGGGATCGATAACGTACAGGAGTCATCACTGCAGCTTCAGAGGGTCCGAACGCGTCCAAGGCAGTGGGGTTTGCTGCCTCTGCAGCAGTTTCTCTCTCTGCAGGAAGTTGCGGCTGGCTGTCCAGGCTCATCTCTGGTCAGCGCCGCTGCAACTTGAGTTCCTGCAGGAGCTGTTCGGCCAGCAAGAGTTCCTGCAGGGGCTGTTCGGACAGTAGCTGGGAACCGAACTGCCTGCTGTCCAGTTTGGACTGCAGGAGATGCACCGGCTGTTGCGCCAGCTGCTGTGCTGCCCGCTGTTGATTTCTCTTCCGCTGCGAACTCTACCCAGCTGAGTGGTTCTACGTCTCCATCCGTGCTCCATTGCCATTCTTTTCCTTCCTCGAACGCGACATCCCTGCTGACACGTATTTTGTTATGTTGAGGGTCGTAAAGACGATGCGCTTTACTTCCTTCCTCTACCCCAATATACACCATTTGCGTGCTCTGGTCGTCGAGTTTCTTGTGTGAAGGACCTGCAATTTTCACATGCGCCACACATCCGAAAACTCTCAAGTGTTCTAGGTGGGGTTTCTTACCAAACCAAGCTTCGTAGGGTGTGTGATCATACAACGCCTTGGTTGGTAGTCGGTTGAGGATGTACACCGCGTGCCTAACCGCTTCGCCCCACATAGTTCCAGGCATATGCATGCTCTTAAGTAGGCTTCTCGCCATGTCCATCACCGTGCGGTTACGCCTCTCCACTGATGCCGTAGTCTTCACACAACTTTGTGAACTCCTTTGACAAGAATTCGCCACCACGATCCGTCCTCAAGGTCTTCACCTTGTGGTCACATGCATTCTCAGCCTCTGTTTTGAACTTCTTGAAGGTTTCACAAGCTTGACTCTTGGCTTTCAACATGTATACCCACATCCATCGGCTGAAATCATCAACGATAAGAAGGAAGTAGTTATTCCCAGCAAGTGTAGATAGGGTGATAGGACCACATAGGTCAGTGTGTAGTAACTCCAGCGGCTTCTGAGCTCTGAAATTTGCTTGCGAAGGGAACGGCAGTCTTGCTTGCTTGGCGACGAGACATCCTTCGCATAGTTGATTCGGGTGCAAGATCTTCGGCAACCCGGAAGCCATCCTCTTTTCAGTCATCATCTTGAGGGCGAAGAAATTGACATGCCCAAGGCGAGCATGCCATAGCCAAGCTGGATCGTTAATATTCTCCATCAAACACGCCGGCTTGCAAGTTTTTAACTCTATCCTGTACAATCGGTTAGTTGAACGTGTCACCCTCATCAAGAGAGTACCGTTCCTATCAAACACCCTCAGGAACTCGTCAACAATGACAACCTTACTCCCATCTTCAGTCATCTGACCATGGCTAATAATGTTAGATTTCAAACTTGGAATATAATATACCTCAGGTAGTAGCCTTTGATCGCCGTTGTTGCACTGAAAAAGGATAGAGCCT